TGAAAAGGGAAGGTATTAGCATCCTTTTCATCCTTGTTTTTCCATAGGCTCTTAGTTACTTGCTAGATCACTTGCTTTTGTTTGAAATTATGCTTTGTGTGGTTTTTGAAATTATTTTGTAAAGAGGCCATTGTTTAGGCAAACTTTGTAACGATTCTCGTTCGTAAGAATGTATACAAAGTGTTTGATCTTTTGAAAATGTTTTCAAGATTGTAAGATGTTTGAAAGTGTCGGTGTTTGTTTTGAAAATGGCAAGTATGTTTTGTTTTGAAATGGAGCAATTAATTAGGAGCATTCTACCTACTCAAAAAGTCTTTCATGTTCATTTTCTTTTTCCTTTGACATTGTTATCTTACCATTGTTTTGGTAAGTAACAATATCTTTGGATGTAAACGGGACGAGTATGGGTCATCGTATAACCATGATTAGAAATGTTGCAAGGTATCTTAGCATTCTCTTTTAGGGACTAAGGTTATTTGAAAGGCAACTTAGATAGCGTCATCGAGGGACTATGATCTTGTATTTTGCTTTGTTTTTGGTAAGATACCTCACATGCGTAATATGGCCATTTTGTAAAGGCAACCAAGTGGATTTACCCTAGGGGGTGCTTGTGTGCAAGTGTATTATTTTTCATGCTTGATTTTGTCTATGATTAGGGTTTTCTATTTGATTGGTTTTAGTCTTTCCATACAAAACCCTAATTACTAGCATTTGTATATAAAGCGATAAATTGCGGAATTTAAAATTACTACGCCATTACAATACTTGTGGGAGGGGGTGTACAAATTATAAATGGGGATTGCAAGAAAATAAACCTAATTAATCTATTCCAACCATATTGAATTTGTACAAGAATTGAAATAAATAATGTACATAATGAATAAATATACAAGAATGCAAATGTGAAGAAAATGGATATTTTGTTTGATTTTTTTAGGAAAAGGGAATTTATTTTAACCTAATTAATTAAAAGAAAATAATTAATTAAAAATAAAACCTAAATTTACCAAGATTTTTTTTTAAATAAAACCCTAAATCTATTAATTGATTAAAAAGAAATTAAGTTTATAAAAGGAATATTTTTGGTATTTTTGTCTTAAAAATAATCTATAGTATTATAAAATATTTTTGATATTTTTTTATATTTTAAAATAATATATTTAATTGGTGTAAAAGAAAATAAATAAAACCTAGTATTTTAATTAAATTTATAAAACATTTAGTGAAATAAATAAAATAAAATAATTTTTGTGTGATAAAAAATAAATAAACTATGTCCAAATATAAATCTAGTATTTTTATATTTTTTATGATTTTTTAGTATTAGAAAAATAATTAAGAAAATAAATAAAATGAAAATAAGAAAAGAAAATAAAACTGGGTCATGGGTGTGAATAGCCTGCAGGGGGGTTAACAGTAAGAAAAAAACAAAAGGCCTAAGGGAGGCCTAGGCGCCTGCCAAAAATAGAAAGTCAGAATGCAAAAATGTGAAAAATCTAAAAGGATACCACTGGGGTTCGAACTCAGGTCCCAAAGGTTACAGACGCGCGCTTCTACCACTGGGTGGCTATACATCCGTTAACATAAGCAAAACAATAATATATGATACAAAACGTGCCCTGATTTACACTTCATCTTCAACCTCCAGTCAAACCAACTGTAACTTGTTCATTTCTCAACCATTTGCAACAAAGTATAAATGAAACTTGTGTAAAATTTTACCACGATTCCAGAAATATAAACAACTTAAATTAATTCTCAAGAATGAACATGAATTTTGAATGGTACCAAATTCTGACCTAATTTTTCCAGGATGTTCAGATTCAAAATTCTAACTACTCAAGCAATATAAATGAAATCTAAAGACATGGTTAGCTTCAGAACAATGATGTCTACAATTTTCATTTACAAATTAAACATTAATAATGCTTGTATGAAGAGTTCAAAGTTGAGATAACTTACCTCAAAACTGGAAATCATGTTCTGCAAATGAGCACTTCTCAAGATGTTGTGATGATCAGAATAGCTCCACTGAGGTCCCAGGAAGCTAATGCAATGATTAGCTTGGTTAGAGAGTGGCTGAAATGGACTGGAGAAGTCAAGATGCAGACTCTGTTTTTTGGTTATGGAGGTTATGGTAAATGGTGTTACAGTTCTGAAATAAGGACGAGAATGAGTTGTATTTGATGTAAGGAAACTTTAGGAATGAATTTGAGGGAAAACGCACGAGAGAAATGAGAGATACAAGTTTAAGGTTAGAACTGTGTATCAATGGAGTTTTTTGTGCAATTTCTAGCTAGGGGGAATTTGGGAGTGTTTCAGGATGCTCAAACTCTTCGCTTAGCTCAGAAATAGTGATTATATTTATAAGCAACAAGTTTGGAGGGCTCTAGTTGATCAAAATTCAAATTTACATGTTTAAGTTCAACATATGATTTTTATGACAAAACAAGTTTCCATGCCTTGTACTTGATTCATATAGTGGTTATGCTTTAAACAAGCTTTCTTCTGACTTTGTGGATGGAGTGTGATCAGAGGGAACAAGTTAGAGGCTCAATAATAAACTTTATGCAAAAAGCTTGCTTTACAAGAATGACAATGTTAACATTGTGCCATTAATGGAAATGCAACTTGGATAATAGCTCAATTGCTTGGATCAAAGCCCTAACAGCTGTGTAAACATTTAATTATGGAGTGACAAACAAGTTTGAGGCCTGCAAAGCAAAGATTATGCAGCCTAGTATGGATTTGGTTGATGTATTCATCAAAAAATGACTTGTAATTCAAGTGATAAAACCCTAACTTCATCTCTTCGATTCTCCCTGCTCAAGAATGATCTCAAGGAGTTCTTGGACATTTTGGAAATATTGTAATATTCTTTACAATCCATCTTTGAATCACTTTTGAAAATTTCCCTTGGAACTATATGAAAAAGTGCCATGAAGTTAGGTCAAAATCCTGACCAAATTAAGGCAAAATTTCACTAAGTGTTTTTGTTTCATGACCATGACTTTATGAATTAATAACTTAAGATCCAAGCACTTTTAGGAGAAGTTGTATGAATAAAATTTGTAGATTTCATGGAGATATACAACTTTCATGTTGGAAGTTTCTTTGGAATCATCTTGTATCATGGTGAAAATTTTGCTCAAAGTTGTGAAAAAATAAGGAATTTCCAACACTTGGAAAAATTTCTGTTTGGAAATTTTAACTTTTCAAAATGAAATCTTGAATTTTTGATTTCTTGATGAATAAGTTTCATATTTTGACATGCTTTAATGAATTATGATCTTAAGCATTTGAATTTGATCAAAAAGTCAAAGTTTGACTTTTTAATATATAGTTGACTTTTGATCAGTTGACTGAAAATTCATCTGTCAATCCATTGGACTTGAGCAATGCTTTGAGCTATGTCATTAGGTCAAAAGGATGCAATTGTACTCTTGAGATCATGCCTTAAACCAATTGATCATTTGCTAGGTCGAAAATCAGAAATTTCCCTTTCCCAATCAAAACCCTAATTTTGACCATTTTGCCCTTTGAAGATTTGATCAAATTTCTTAAGGAATTATGGTCCAAACTTGATCAAATGATACATATGATTTTAAAATGTTGATGTGGATAAAAAATTATGAAGTTTGACTGTAAATTGGTCATAGTTGACTTTTTCCCTAATACAACTGATTTTTAGGTCAACTGCTCAATTGACTGAGCAAAAGTGTGATTCAAAGCTTGAAACTTGACATGAGTAATCTTAGGGGTCCATAATGATCCATGAAAGTCATATGAAGCATTGAAAGTTCAAATATCCTTGTGCAATCTCAAACCTTAATTTTGGTCATCAGTGCTTAAGGAAGTGTCTTGAGCTGATCAACCCTAGTGCAGTCTTGAGCCAAATGAGATCTTGTGAGCAAATTCTTGATAAGTGAGAGGACAAATTTTGGGGTACAACATACGATCTATTTTGTCAAATTCTCACTCTTGTTTTTCTTATAACACAATTTAGACCCCTAATACATATATTCCAAAAATATTCTTATTCTCTTTAATTAATTATTTAATCACTAAAATTATAAATACTATTTTATTCAGAGTAATAACAATAGTAATATAATAATAATAAAAATATTATTAATAACAATTAATTAATACTAGTATTCTCTAATCACCTCTTGTTCTCTACACTTTTAGTCATACCCCTCTACATCTCAACCTCTAATTTTTTCAAATTACATCACATCACATTATAAAATATATCGACACAAGTAAACGCATCATCTTATATAATTATTTTAAATAAAATAATCCTAATTAAATTAGGGCGTTACAATGACAACTTTAACAAATCAGGTGAATAACATAAATAATAATGAGAATCAACGAAGAGACAAGAGAAAAGAATCAATTAGAATTCTACGTAATAAAAACAATCGTGCTGAAGATTCGAGTTTTGGAAAAGAAGAACTCTAAAAAAAAAAAAGAGGTTGATCGTCAGAATTGACAGAACAACCATAATTGACTATATTTTGACCTAGCCTACTCATTTTCATCAAATTCTATCTTTCGGCGTAAGTCTAATCTAAATATGAAGTATGTGCAAAACTATAATATGGTGCACATAGTTTAGGCGCTTGAAATAGAAGTGGAAAAGTGGTAATTATTAATAATTAACGTGAATCTTCATAAGAGAAGAAAAGTACAAAAGAAGAACCAACAATCGTGCGTTATTGGTAGAAATCCCTCATTTATTAAAGCTTCACGTACGAAACTAGCGGAGCACAGAAAAAGTGCCTTGACAAAGTTGTTACAACCCTTCCAACTCAGCTTGATTTGAACCCTTTATGCATGTCTCACCACTCCTTTATCAGATTCTCATTTTCACACTATACAAATTCAAACCTCCTCAACTATTACATTTATATATAAATAGGTGATATTACACTGTCATTTGAAAACTAAGACAGTTATTCATAGCAAAAAAAACTTAGCCATTAATCACCATGGGTGGTGGTAATAGGCAGAACAAGTCTTCACCTGGTTTCTTCTCTATTTTCTCATGCTTCACATCTAAAAATAAGCGTGGAGCAGGTTACTATGACTATGATACAGGGCGCAGGACATGGCCTAGCGATGAAGACAGAGGTAACTGGGGTGTTGCTGAGCCAAATATTAACAGAAAAGCTGATGATTTCATCCGCAAATACAAGAATCGCGTTTCAGAATCCGAACGCTATGAAGTTGATCCTGCTGCCTAGACTGCGTAATACTATCAATCACCTACCATCATATGTATATATTTCATCATTTACTGTTCTCAAGATTATCATTTGTTAGGGTAATCAGTATCAATTGCTTCTACACCATAAGTTTAGAAGTTCAACTTGTACTCAGTATGTTGCATTGTCGACCTATGTTCATAGTTGCACTAGGTTCAACTATGTATGCTTAGTTTCAATTTAATATAATTCAATGGCATTAGCACTTTGAACAAAGTTTAACTTGGGTGAAGTTACTTCCAAAGCAACTTAATATATAACTTGTTCTAATTTCCTCATCTCAGATTTCTTTCTCAACAAGTTAAATTCAACTACATATATATGACTTTTTTAATATTCTAATCTCTAGTTGAAAAAGACGTTGATAATTCAAAGTTACTTGTGAAATAAGTTAAACATGAGACAAATTGTTATTCTAGTTAAATTACATTCAGTTTGAATATCAAAGACTAAATTGTACCTTAACTTATTTATTATTTTTATTTTGAACTCAAAGTTAAATGTTGATATGTTTAGATTGCTTTCAGTTTGACCACCATTTGTCAAACTTGGAATTTAATTCCAATTGATAAAATTATTTTCTAAAGCAAGTGTCTTTATCAAATCGTTTGTGTTTCATGTTGTAGTAAAATGTCTTAAAATTTGCAGCAAAACTAATGGAATAGAGAAATAAAGCATAATTTAATAAAGACAAATTTTTTCAACAAGATATAGGCGGTCTAGCGACAGCGGGTCTTCCGCTCTGGTGGTATGGTGGATTCTAGTCTTGAGTGTAGGTGGTTTAGTAGAGTCTGGCCATCTGTGATTGCGGTCTAATGGAGTACGACCGTCTACACTGGCGGTCTGGCAAAAGCTAGCCATCTATAGTGGCGATAAAAAGAGGTCAGGTGGCGGAGGCAGTCCAAATAGATTTTGGATATTTTTAGAGTTTATTTATAAATTGTGTTAAGAAACAAGTGTGAGTTGGAAGTTTCATATTGTTTGAAAAAGTGGAGGTTAAACACTTTATTAGAGGACCCATATATCTAATATTTTAAGATTTTGAGTGAATATGTGGTGTTTATCTCACTTGTTTAGATGAGTCTTTGACCCAATATGGATGTTTCCCCTCATGATGATCCATTAGTGTATTAGAGTTGATGGTTAGAGTAAGAGATTTGTGGTGTGTTATGCTGAAGTGCTCGTGACTAGGGGTGGCAAACGGGCATGTCCGCCCTGTTTAGACCTGTCTCGCAAAAGCCTGCAAAAGAAGGGCGGGAAATGACGAGTTTTATTGAGAGTATGAGTCTAAAATCTTGTTCCCCCCAGCAAAAAAATGAGTGCGGGTGATAAGTGCCAAAATGTGTTTATTTTCAGTGGTATTTTGTGACACTTATTAGTCGGTTTTTTGTGTATTATTAAGTAAAACCCCGACTTTTGTGTAAATACTAGTATAATCATGTTTTCATGTAAATATTGTATCGTTTGATAGCTTTTCATTTATTTTGTAGGTATTCATACATGGTTGAAGCACCGAGCAATAAGAGCCAAAAACACAACTTCAAAAATGTGATTTTAAGCAATTCATCAAAGAATAAGGCTCAAAACAAAGAAGAGGAAAATCATAAATTTCGTCGGTATTTAGTAATTTTTATATATAACATTGAATAAGCTTTTCAACGCTTTTAACCGTGCGTAAATCGGAGTTACGTTTCTCAAGTTATGGCAAAAACAAGTGTTGATTTTTTTTCGGAACAGCAGGTTGCACGCTAAGTTCCCTTTGCGACTTTGAAACTTGTATAAATAGTTTTAGAATATATTTTTAGGCTATGGTTTTGGTATTTTTTTACTCCCAACTCCACCAACTTTATTATTTGACGTTTGAGCTTAGAAAACAACAATGGAGCTTACATCTTGAAGATTGAAAGTCAGATTTCTCATCAATCGCGATTGACACCGCAAGAGATGTTTAGATATCATCTCCTCTTCTCTTTGTATTCTCTATTTATTGGGGTTTATTTGCAAGTTAACATTGATTGTATGTATATTTGTTGATCATGGTGTTGTAAACTATTTATTTCCCAAATCAATATAGATGGTTGCTTGCTTTATGTTGGATTTTAGTTGCTATTGACATATACGGTTCAAATCCGGATCTAGGATGTACATATATTAGGTTCTAGACTCTAGATATAGATTTAGACTTAATAATTACTGTGGGTATCAGTTTATAATGCCTTTGTGTTGTTGAGTTGCGTGAGAGATCATCTTAGAGACAATACGGTTGTTCTCTTAACTTCACATTAGACATAACCTTTATTGTGAGTGATACATGATGATATTGAGTAGTACTTTAGGTTGCATACAACTGATCGATAGATCTAAGTATTTAATAGGGTTCATGAAGTTCAAACCCTAAAGAGTTCTCTCCTCTCTTCCAAGATGCTATGAAACCTAGACCTGACCAGATAATAGTCTAACTCTTCCAAGATATAGAAGAACCTGGACTCAACCCGACCAAGGTTTAACTTCTTTTCCCCAGTGGAGTTTGCCTCTCCCCCAACAAGTTACTGTGAAACTTGGATCCGACCATATATCAGTTTTCAATTTCATCTTTTCAAGCAAGTTGTTGTGAAGCCTGGATCCGACCAGATAGCAATTACCCTCTGAGATTTGTTGTGAACCCTGGAAACTGACCAGATAACGACTAAATCCCCAAACAGTTTATTGTGAAACCTGGACCCGACCATATAGCAATTGACCTCATCAACCTCAGAAATCTGCAAAGCCTGGACCCGACCAGATAACAGTTTTTCAAACAGTTTATTGTGAAACTTGGATCCCGACCATATAACAACTAACTATGATTCCCAGAGAGACACTATGAAGTCTGGACTCGACCAGATAATAGAATAACTTTCCAAAAACCATGAAACTTGGACCAGACTAGATAGTAGTTACCACTTCAAGTTACTGCAAAGCCTGGATCCGACCAGATAACAGTTAACTTCCGTATCCCCAGCAGGTTGTTGTGAAGCCTGGATCTGACCAGATAACTATTCAATTTCAAGAAAATTTTCTGCAAATCTTGGATTCTGACCAGATAACAGTTAATTCATTTCTTCCCCCAGTAAGTTACCGTGAAGCTTGGATCCGACCAGATAGTAGTTGACTACTTCATCCTCAACAAGTTGTGAAGCCTGGATCCGACCAGATAACAATTGACATTCAAGAGATATTCCCCAATGACAATCAGGGATTCAACCCCCCAGAATTTCCTCAGCGGCAGTAAGGGATTTATTTTCCCGGACAAAAACATACATATCACTTTCATACATCATAACATGTACATACCATATTCATTTAACATAATACCACATCTGGTGAACATCATGCAGGCATCTGCGTTTTACTAACTCTTTTCTCACACGTAAAACATAAAGTTTTAGTATAAATAAACAAGAGATTTGTGCTGATACTTCTTCCGGTGTTTACCAACATTCCTCCAAATGGCATCTATAACCTCATTCACCATCCATCTTTGAGTGCAAATTTTTGGGCACTCTAGTGTTCAATCATCTTTCACCTTCAAGTCACGAATGGAGGATCAGCCAATCTAACTCTTCAGGTTTAAGAAGATTGAACAGGGGCAGTTGTTATACCCCAAAATTTTCCCTCTCATTTATCAAATATTTTCTCACAAAGATCTCTCTTGGTTCAAGACTGCACTAGGGTTGATCAGCTCAAGACACCTCCAAAAGCACTGAGGACCAAAATTAGGGTTTCATATTGCACAAGGATAATTGAACTTTCAATGCTTCATATGACTTTCATGGATCATTATGGACCCCCAAGATTAGTCATGCCAAGTTTCAAGCCTTAGATCACACTTTTGCTCAGTCAATTAAGCAGTTGCCCTAAAAATCAGTTGTATTGGGGAAAAAGTCAACTATGGCCAATTTGTAGTCAAACTTCATAATTTTTTATCCACATAAATATTATAAAATCATATGTATCATTTGATCAATTTTGGACCATAATTCCACAAGAAATTTGATCAAATCATCAAAAGGGCAAAATGGTCAAAATTAGGGTTTTGACTGAGAAAGGGAAATTTCTGATTTTTGACCTAGCGAATGGTCAATTGGTTTGAAGCATGATTTCAAGAGTTCAATTGCATCATTTTGATCTAATGGCATTACCTAAAACATTGCTCAAGATCATTTGGATTGATAGTGAATTCTCAGTCAACTGATCAAAAGTCAACTATACACTGAAAAGTCAAACTTTGACTTTTTGGTCAAAATCCAATGTCAAAAATCACAATTCATCAAAACATGTTAAAATATTAAACTTATTCATAAAGAAATCAAAAGGTCAAGATTTCATTTTGTAAATTCAAAACTTTTCTAACTTAGATATTTTTCTAACTGTTTAAAACTTCATATTTTTTCATAACTTTGAGCCAATTTTTCACCATGATGCAAGAGAATTCAGAAGAATCTTTTAACATGAAATTTGTAGATCTCCATGATATATACAACACTGATTTACACAAATTCTTCTAAAAATGCTTGGATCTCAAGTTATTCATTCATAAAGTCATGGTCTTGAAATTGAACACTTAGTGAAATTTTTCCCTAGTTTTGGTCAGGATTTTGACCTAACTTCATGGCACTTTTTCATATAGTTCCAAGTGGAATTTTCAAAAGTGATTCAAAGAGGGGTTATAGACCACATTACAAGCTTTCCAAAATGTCCAAGAACTCCTTTAGATCATTCTTGAGCAGGTAGAATCGAAGAGAGGAAGTTAGGGTTTTCAAACTTGAAATACAAGTCATTTTGTGATGAATAAGAATTCAATTTCAAACCTATGATGCACAATATTGCTTTGCAGGCCTCCAAACCTCAATATCTATCCATAATAAGAATATTACACTTACTTTTGAGCTATTATCCACTTGATTCAAGCTTTATCCAAGTAAATTTTCCATTTATGG